CTAAAGGTGTGGAATTGTGAAGAGTTCAAAGAGGTTTGTGCTCTATCTGGTCACGAAGGAGGCGTCCTCGCTGTCACACTACACCCTAATTACCCTTTTGCAGTATCCGGAGGGAATGACTGCACCATTAGAATATGGAGTGTTGAAGGTTTCCATGAAACAARTTGCCTCAGAGGTCACCAACATCCAGTCCAAGTGGTATCTTTTAATGAAGATGGGAGTGCTTTTGTAACAGGAGGTAGAGATAACACGATTGGCGTGTGGGATTGGGCCAGTAAAAGTATCCATGACTGGCTGAAGGCTCCTATATTTGATATTACCCACATAACTATGAACACTCACTGCCTCCTGGTGGGTAACAATCGACACGCTGTTTGGGAATATGCGGTTGACCAAGAAAAGGCCGCAAAGATCATGAAGCTTGGAGATATCGATTTSCTGAAAATGATAAAAGAAAGAAAGCGATGCGAGGAAGAAAATGGCTCTTTTGTTGGAGACCCCTTACAAGGAACAAAAAGAGAAATTCCAAATAGATGTGTTCCATCTTTTTGTTCATTGTTCACGTCTTCGGTGTCCATTGGACCCGACAGTAGAAGTCATCCTACCCTGTTGATTAGAGATGGAACGCGGCTCTTGCTTGGAAGTGTCATGAGCACTATGCCATTGYGTTTCTTAGATGTTGAAACAGGAATAGACAGTGGTCTCCAGATTGATAAAAATGGGAAAACGCTCGTCACCGCTCTTGCTATGTGCACTAATGAAAAGGAAGTGCTYGTTGGTACAGATCAAGGGAACATCATAAGAATCGAACTAGATTCGAAAGAGATTTTACAAACGTATGAACAGAAACAAGTTTCTGGATTCTCCGAGAACGCATCTGTTACGGGGCTTGCCACATCAGAAGATGGAAAATTCTTCCTCTCAGGAAACTCTGACGGAAAACTGTTGCTTTGGRATGTTGAAAATGTTGAAGGAAAACTTCTCAAATCCTGCCAGCTGAGAATCAGTGGCGTTTGTTTTTTAAAGGAGGACAGTTTTGCTGCTGCTGACGAGAACGGGTATCTTCACGTTGTATCGAGCGTTGGCCCAAATCTCTCCATTCTTGCTCACGACACCGCTGTAACAGCTATTACATCACGTGGCATTCCCTCAGAAAACAGCACTCGATATCTCGCTACAGCCGCATTGGGAAMTTTGAAAATTTGGAGTGTGAGTCAGCATGGTTGTGCATTAAATTGCGATCGTCAAATCAGTTGTTCGGGTCACAACATAAGAACAGTTCACTTTCTCTCAAACTGTGCATCGCTCCTTACTGGCTCCGATGATAACGTTGTTAGGCTGTGGGACGTGAAAAATRMAAATATTTTGAAGACATTTGAGGCCCAGAGCTTTGGCATTAACTATGTGTCTAGCATCAAAGACAGGGTGATCGCTTGTTTTGATGATTGTTCTGCAATAACCTGGTCTCTGGAGACTGGAAACTTGTTATTTCGAAGCCAAGGGCATTATGGGCGATACCACGTGACACTTCCGCTGAGTAACCAAGCCATCACAGATGGTTTTCACTATACGCTGAAACGCTGGAGTACTGAACAAGGCACGTGTTGGTACGAACTGCCGGAACCGTTGGCGGAATATCAGCATTCGAATGAAGTTACTGCTCTAGCAGTTACGTGTGATAGGAGTCTTTTGGTCACGGGGACTCGAGACAAGATGCTCAAGYTATGGATGGTAGACAGCGGGCAATGTTTGAGTGAGTTCTACTTGGAGCATAGTGCACAGGTGATCGCTTGCAGTGCTGAAGGACGCATCTTTGTTGGACTAAGTGACGGGCAGCTTTGCTTCATGAAATTACGAAGTAAAAAATAATGCTRCTTTAGAGATCAAAACTTATCAACTAAAAAGCAGATTATTAGTATAACCCTACGAAAAAACAATAATCACCCAATAGTTTTAACCATTAGAAAAAAATAACTTCATATTTATCAATTGAAATTTATTGCTTTATTTTGCGATTGATTGGCAAATTATACAAATTGCTCYATTTAATTCGTGAATGCATGTCAAAAAGGTTTCATAAACCCCAACTATTAGTAATCTGAATATAGAAAATATAGYGTATAAAGTGTGTGTAAGTTATACAAAGAGTGCAAATAAAGATGCTTTAACAAATAAAAAACATCGCTTGCACAATGTTTACTAGTATATCCGGCCACAGAAATGACCAGAATCAATAATACTTTTAAGTAATTATGAACGTTATCTAAACTTTTACCACTATTTGGAATTTTCTCGCTTTCCGATTGGTCTAGAGCCGGTTAAAATAGGAGGTTACATCGTTAAATTAATTACATCAACAAATCCATCACGCGCGCTTTCTAAACCCCGTTTTTCATTCCAGTTTTACCTTTGTTTTTGTAGTAAAAGTTTTAACTTTTTGTGCAAAAAAAAAATCCTCCAGTTTTCTTGGTATGTCCTCTTATTTACCACTTTTTTCGTCATCTAGCCGTCAAAATGTTGTGGATTCCCTCGGCTACGCCTCGCTAGGTGACGAAAGTCGTGGTAAATAAGCGGACATACCACGGAAAACTGGGGGAAATTGGTTAAAGACAAGCTACCTTACATCTGCTCCAAAACATTTAATATCCAATTATCAAATTTATCTAAGATTTAAGAATTTCTACTAGATTCTAAACGTTTTTCCCTGTCCTAAGTAAATTATTAKTACTGTAAAAATCAGAGTCATTTATGACCCTTTCAAATTGGCTTTGGTTACCCCAGAACGACCTCCTCAAAACAAAATCGTGTTGAACCTTTGAAAACTTGCTCCAAGTGGGGTCGTTTTGGGCCGGGGTTACTATATAAGGTCGAACCCTGGATGAGCATCTGCTCTTGGGATTTTAATCCGCCAAAAAAATAATAATTCCGTTAAAACAATATAATAGGGTTTAGGTGCGCATGCAGTGCATAGTAAACCGACCACAAAAAATTTAATGAAATTGTCAATTCTTACTGAAGAATACTGAAGCGCGGTGCAATGTTCCAAGCGTGAATATAAACCCGACTTAGCCAAAGAAAGCAGACATTTCTCTGATGTACCAATCAGGTAGAACAAAATTAGACATGCGCACCTCTTCACGGGAGTAACCAATAGATGGCGAAGATTTTCCCCATTCTAGTACATACTGCACCGCACGACCTCCATCCATTCCATAGCTATCCTCAACCACTACACCCTTCAACCACTGCAAGAATTCATCTACAAATCCTATACACGCCATTGGATTCCAACTGGTGAGGGCTAATTGAGTCTTGGTTTTACATGACATTTTAGGATTATTCACTTCTAACGGGATCTCGTCCGGCGTGATGCGAGACACTTCTTTTAACGTCGGGCCATCCCGGATGCCGTATATGACCTGTTTCATGTCCGCAGCACACATATGATACCACCAATTACGGAGCTTGTACATTGGGAACTTCCATTCATCTCGGCCCGTGTAATTGGGACAAAGCTTGCACTCCACGTACTTGCCCTATTTGTTAGAAATGATTTCATATAACTATCAATAACATGACTTAGACGAGCCGGTGACCGGCTTAGTTGAAAGTGTTTCATTTTGATTTTTTTGGGGGGGTCGGCTTTTTCGCGGTTTTCGGCGGAGTCGAGAAAAACGTAGCACAAAAAGTCTCTCAATACAGTCTTCTCCTTTTGTCTGCTTGCCTGGAAGTGCAATGTTGGCTAACATTGAGAGCAGTAGAAAAGGAGGGTTGTCAAAGAATTAGATTGCAAAGTGTGGAAGTGATCAAGAAAAGAGTCTAAATGATCTAATAAAGCAAGGATTTTAGGGAAACTGGTCTTCTTCCCCCGAAGTACCCCCAAAAGATTTCCGAACTGTGCCGGCGAGCTATCGAAACTTGTCCAAATGGTCGCCGAAAATGCGAGTGAAAGTGACACTGGACGTACTTTAATCAAGCTTAACTATATGTTTTATTCTAACAGGGAATTCAATCGTATAAAAAGCTTTTGTCATCATATATAACGCTTACATTTTCAGCAAAATCAACTTGAGCTCTGGTTAGCACAAGATGGCGGCCACCAAATTTGCCTCTTCTAACGCTATAGAATCCTTGTCGACTTCCGTCGACTTTTCGATCAGCCGGCTTGCCTTGCGACTCACAGGGATCTAGTTTTGATATCAACTCTTCAAACTTTAATCCCATGTAAACATCCTTTCTTTCTTCTTCAGGACGTCGTTCCTCGCTTGTGTTCTCCCCGTTCCTGATGTAGATTGTACCGTTGTACTTGATAGCGTACATTTTCCATGGCTGTTTGTAGCTTCCAGTGTTAAACACGGTTGCAAGAAGCTTTCTCATTGTTCCTACTGTGAAAACAAAATCTGCATCCAATCTAAAAAAAATCAGTTACATAATACATTAATATTTATTATCTAGAGATCTTCATTGAATAATTATCGTGTTCTCGAATTTTTTTTGGAATTTTTCTTAATAAATGATAATTATTCATTCGCATCATGCTTGAGAGTCATTTAAAGAGGACCACGACGTTTGGACTGCACATATTATATCTGAAAACCAGGCCATTTTAGATTAAACTGTTTCGCTAGGATTGAAATTTTTTTAAATTTAATTTAAACATATTTCGTCGATATATTAACCCAAAGAGCGTAACGCTCATCGAGGGGTTCTATGTTTTAATTATATTACAAATATATAGTTATGTGGACGAAAGAAAATATATACATATAGGACTAAAAAATATAAAGAAATAATTAATGTAGTATAAGTAATATAGATGGCGTAGATTTAAATTAAGGTATACCAGTTAAAGTTGAGAAGCAGTTAATTAGAAAAAGCATTCGTTCTAAATGAATACTAATTATAATCAAAGAGCTTTGAATCTATCATAAATTTCTGTATGGTTTTAAACAGGACACAGTTCTGACTATCACTTAAATTAGGGGAACCATGCAACATTATATGAAGTTTTTTCTTATCAGAGAAATTGAATTGAATTTGAATTTTGTCTATTGGAGTCTATTGGATTTGGCGATTACAGTCAAACAAGCTCAAGCGTTGACCCCTAGATTCCGTTAATGAAATCATTTGTTAATTATTCCTTTTATACGTACGAACCGGAATAATGCAATATTGCAATATGCATATGAAAATTCAGTTCATTCAGTTCAACTCGTGATGAAGAGGTAAATCATCTAAATTACAGATAACTTCGAGCAGAAGTCGCTCTCTTATTTCACAAGCATACACTAGGTTTCTGTAATTTCCCATTAAAGACAATAACTTGACTTGAAGCTTGTGTTGAGTTCATCTTGTGTTTCTCGGTCATGATTTTATGAACCAGAGGGTAATATCGCGTATTCCACGCAGGAAAAATAAGGTGTTCTCAGCTCGTTGTCTGCCTATAAAATCCAGATTAGCAATGATCTAGATCGTCAGCCGAGTTTTCAAAGCAATACTTGGAGTGTAAGCGTGACCTTGGGCAATTCTTGAACCCCATAATATTGTTGTTATACACAATTTCTCGGTATATTTACGAGTTTTCGTGGAGATTCTGGCAACCGGTTCACTCTTTGTATCTTTTGCATGGCCGCCATGTTCTCTTTATTGAGAGCCCGCTGTACGAGTAATTCTAGTTGAAAATCGAATGGACGAAAACCCCCCGGACCCATAAGGTACACGTATTTGTGGATACCGAGGAAACGATCTGTGCTGAGACTAATAGAAAGCAGTGGATCTCTGAAAATATATTTGGCCTAATAGTGGTTATTTTTATTAGTAATATCCAAAAACGCGCTGTCAGCGAAAGCGTTCCCACTCTGACTTCGGCCGTTTCTATCAGATGGCTATTTAAAATAACTTACCGTTGTTTCCCTGGACCATTCCCAGTTCTTGATATTGTATCCTTGTTTAAAACAATCCAATACAGTAAAGAATCAAGCGGTCGACTATAGTGATGTTCTTTCACCGATGGATCAAAACCAGCTGTCAGATCACTGCCGTATTTGCTATCGTAGTTAGGAATCAAACTACACAGCTCTCTTTGGTCGTTGTTGTAGAAGTTTCCTTGAGCATCGATCGAATATGATCCTATTATATCAGTCGACCACGACGAAAAATCGGTGTCCAATTCAGTATTTTGAACGAAGCTTTGGTTCTGATTCCCAGCGGCCATCGTATTTACTTACTTAAAACAAGAGTTCTAGCAACTCAATATTTCCTGGAACAACTCTCAACTGTGATTCTTGAAAGTGAAAGTGAAAGTGAAACTTGAACTGATTCTAGGAAACTACGTACTGGGACTACGAAAAGTTCTACGGGCTTAACTCCGCAAATCTTTGCAAATAATGCCTTCTTGCAAGAGATAATAGCTACTGAGGGCATGGAAAATTACGATCAAAAGCAGAAAGAAGACGTTTAGGCCTTACTGTTATTATTATTTTAAAAACACACAGTTCAATTAACAAAAAAATTAAGAGTCCCAGTGTATATACCACAATACCATTACCTTTTACATCTATAATTTACTGACTTTATGTGTATCGGTCTCATATTTTTATTTAACTTAATGGCAAACTTAAATGTTTTTCTTCAACCTTTATTTAAATCATTATTTTAAACCGCCATGTTTGGTTGGTCAGCGGAGTCTTTCATTTCACTCTTCACCAGGCTCTCTCGTGCTAGGTATTCTTCTCTCTTTATCTTGATATCGAGTGAATATGGTACATCCGGGATAAGCCAAGCTAAAACTTTGACGACGAAGAAGACAACGCCATTAAACACTACGACAAAAGCCAGACGAGCCGCTAACACATAGTAGTACTGGAGAGTGTAATCATACGGTGAATGTGGAGAAAAAAATTCTTTGAATCTGAAAAAAAATGCTACAGCGATTGGCACGGAGTGATTGTAGGCATTTCTAAGAGATTTGAATAACAAAAGGCATTACCGCCATGTTGGAAGGAGATTCAATAAAACGTTTTGTCAAATAGAACACTTGGATTATGGCGTCGTTTACTACCACCACTACCAGAATACCTTGCACACTTTCTTTAGTTCAGCTTATTAGCAGCAGTTGTCTTCTAATTGACTTGCCTTCCAACCCACTAAGGCTTCCCTTCCAACCCACTAAAGCTTGCCTTCCAACCCACTAGGGCTTCCCTTCCAACCCACTAAGGCTTGCTTTCCAACCCACTAGGGCTTCCCTTCCAACCCACTAGGGCTTGCCTTCCAACCCACTAGGGCTTGCTTTTGTTGGAGACCCCTTACGAGGAACAAAAAGAGAAATTCCAAATGGGTGTGTTCCATCCTTTTGACAAAAATATTGTGTCTAGCATCAAAGACAGGGTGATCGCTTGTTTTGATGATTGTTCTGCAATAACCTGGTCGCTGGAGACTGGAAACTTGTTAGGTCGAAGCCAAGGGCATCATAGGCGATACCACGTGATCAAGACACTTCCGCTGAAAAACCAAGCGATCACATATGGTTTTCACTATACGCTGAAACGCTGGAGTACTGAACAAGACACGTGTTGGTACGAACAACCGGAACCGTTGGCGGAATATCGGCATTCGAATGAAGTTACTGCTCTAGCAGTTACGTGTGATAGGGGTCTTTTGGTCACGGGGACTCGAGACAAGATGCTCAAGTTATGGATGGTAGACAGCGGGGAATGTTTAAGTGAGTTCTACTTGGAGCATAGCTAGCGCACAGGTGATCGCTTGCAGTTCAAAAGGACGCGTCAAAGACAGCTTTGCTTCATAAAATTGCGAAGTGGAAAATAATGCTGCTTTGGAAATCAAAACTTATCAACTAAAAAGCAGATTATAAAAATAACCCTACGAAAAAATCAATAATTGCCCAATAGTTTTAAACATTAGTTAGGGATTACTTTATATTTATCATTCAATATTCTGGTTTTTTTGAGCGATTGATTGGTAAATCATACAAATTGCTCTATTTAATTCGTAAAGTGCATAGTTAAAAAAGGTTTCAGTTACAAACCCCAACTTATAATCTGAATATGGAAAATTTATAAAGTGTCTGTGTAAGTTTTGCAATAACACTGCAGATACAGATGCTTTAACAAATAAACATCCCTTGCACAATGTTTACTAGTATATCCGGCCRCAGAAATGACCAGAATCAATAATACTTTAATTTTAAGTATTTATGAATGTATCTAAACTTTTGCCACTATTTGGAATTTTCTCGCTTTCCGATTGGTCTAGAGCCGGGGAAATGGGAGGTCCCATCGTTAAATTAATTACGTCAACAAATCCATCACGCGCGCTTTCTAAACCCCGTTTTTCATTCCAGTTTTACCCTTGTTTTTGTATTAAAAGTTTTTTAAAACAGTTTTTTTAACAGTTAAAACTGTTTGTGCAAAAAAAAAATCCTCCAGTTTTCCTTGGTATGGCCGCTTATTTACCACTTTTTTCGTCATCTAGCAGTCAAAATGTTGTTGGCTACGCCTCGCTAGATGACGAAAATCGTGGTAAATAAGCTGCCATACCACGGAAAACTGGGGGAAATTGGTTAAAGCTACCCTTACCTCTGCTCCAAAACATTTACCTAAGATTTAAGAATTTCTACTAGATTCTAAACGTTTTATCCCTGTCCTAAGTAAATTATTATTCCTGTAAAAAATCATAGTTATTTATGACCCTTTCAAATCGGCTTTGGTTACCCCAGAACGACTCCCTAAAAAAATCGTTGAACCTTTGAAAACATGCTCCAAGTGGGGTCCGCGTTTTGGGCCGGGGTTACTCATATAAAGTCGAACCCTTTATGAGCATCTGCTCTTGGGATTTTTATATTTCCCCTAAAGAATGAGAATAATTTCGTTAAAATTATATAATAGGGCTTAGGTGCAGTGCATAGTAAAACCGACCACAAAAAAAATAATGAAATTGTCAATTCTTCTTACTGAAGAATACTGAAGTGCGGTGCAATGCTCCAAGCGTGAACATAAACCCCGTTTTAGGCAAAGAAAGCAGACATTTCTGTAATGTACCAATCAGGTAGAAGAACGAAATTAGACATGCACGCCTCTTCGCGGGAGTAAGTAATGAATGACAAAACCTCTCCCCATTCTAGTACATACTGCACCGCACGACCTCCATCCATTCCATAGCTATCCTCAACCACTACTCCCTTCAACCACTGCAAGAAGTCATCTACAAATCCTACACTCGCCATTGGATTCCAACTTCTGAGGGCTGACTTAATTTTGGGTTTCGATTTAGAACATGTGCTAGGGTTTTTCACTTGTTCCGGGATGTCTTTCTGCATGATCCGAAACACTTCTGTCAAGTTCGGGCCATTCCGGATGCCGTATATGACCTGTTTCATGTTCGCGGCATACATATGATACCACCAATCACGGAGCTTATTCATTTGGAACTTCGATTCATCTTGGTCCGTGTAATTGGGACAAATCTTGCACTCCACGTACTCGCCCTATTGGTTAGAAATGATTTCATATAACTATCAATAACATAACTTAGACTAGCCGGTGACCGGATTAGTTGAAAGTGTTTCATTTTGATTTTTTGGGGGGGTCGGCTTTTTCGCGGTTTTCGGCGGAGTCGAGAAAAACGTAGCACAAAAAGTCTCTC